TATCTTTTTTGGTTAAATGCTTTGCACCAAATATTTCTTTTAATTCTCAATACTGTGCTATAGGCCATTATTATTTACCTGATTTTATAATTTAGAATACTTTTAGAAGCCTGAGAAGAAAGTCTCATCCAACTCTTATCCAAAAAACTAAAAAGAGATCTTTTATGTAATTGTTTCCCTTTGCAGGTGATTTATGTTTTACTTAATTCAGGAAAACCAGTTGGTGTTATTTCTAGTATTCTACCGGCCCATCAATTGCTCTCTCCCCTCAGGCAGGGAACCTGCTGTCCCTGAGTCAGATGGAGCTGGCTTTCTTGTTTCCTCAAAGAACTGTGTAACTTTTGCAGCCACAAGAAACTCTTTTAGAGAATTATCCTACTCGAATAAAATCAATGGTGATCAGCTCAAAGTTTCACTGTTTCCCTCCAAGCCGCAACAGGAGGCTTTAGGCGATCCTACTATAGTGAAATGTCTGTTCCTTTGGTTTATAAACAGTTACCAGGGACGTTTAGAAGTTACCAATTTGACATGCTGAGGAATCAGCTAACAGGCCAATATACTTCCTTGAAGTTAGAAAGATTTTTATTCTCTGACTTTAATGTTTAGCTCAATTTCTATTTTTCAGCAATTTTACTATTAAGGATTAAAAAAAAATTCTTCTTCAGTTATTGTTCTTAGATTTTTATCCTGATATAGTTAATTCGTTTTGGAAAAGTCTTGACTATTATTCGTTCTTCTAGAATCTTATTGCCATCTAGTTGACTCATAGTGGACCCGCCAGTGGATTCCTGGAGGCTGTAAATCACACAGGAGAGGATAGTACATCTTTCTCCTTTAGAGCAGCTGAGTTCAAAACAACAGAGAAGCACCTCGTACAGCTTCGAAGTGTGTCAACCATCCTACAGAAATTTAGACTATACCACCAGAGCTCCTGTCTATAATAGGAGCTATGATTATATTGTCACGTTATATTTCACCATATTGTCTCATCTTTCTTTAGTATTTTCCTTTGTCTGTCTCTGTGTTGCTTTATGGACGTGTTACACTGTGGACAGAACTATGCTCCAACTTCACAAGTCTCTAATCAGTTTTGTTTAATTTGCTATTCAATCTATTATTTAAATTTTTTCTTCTATTTCCCTAAATGCTTGTTAATTTTTTTTACAACTTTCATGTCTTTTCCCAAGTTTTCCATCCTAGTTGATGTTTTAGCACAGTGGACATGGTTATACATGGTACTTCTAATATCTATGTCAGAAAATTCCAATCTTTAGAGCTGTGGGCCAACTTCAATTACTTGTTTTTTCTACTGATTCTACACAAACTCAACTACTTTCTGTGCCTGATTATTTCTTAAGAATTGTATCCATGTTTTACTTGTGCAATAAATGTCCGCTTTCCAGAAACCAGTTCTGACTAAATATTTTCCCCTTGAGCTTATGTACAATTTTATAGCTTCCAGAATATTTTTTATACCCATATTTCTCATGTTAGTCTTACCACCAGGCTGTGGGATAGAGGGTGTAGAGGTGGTGGTTGTTGTAGTTGTTAGGTGTCAGTGAGTCGATTATGACTCAACAACAACTCTATGAACAACAGAGCTGAATCTTGACCTATCCTGCACCATCCTCATGACCCCTGACAGGCTCAAGCTCATTCTTGCACACACTGTGTCAATCATCTTGTTGAGGGTTTTCCTCTTTTCGGCTGACCCTGTACCTTTACCAGCATGAAGTCTTTTTTTCCAAAGATTGGGCCTTCTGGATAACATGGCCAAAGTATGTGAGATGAAGTTTTATCATCTTTGCGTCTAGTATCACTTCTTTTTAGACAGAGCTTTTTGTTGTTTGAACGTCCACGGGATATTTAATACTCTTCAATACAATTCAAAGGCAACAATACTTCTTCAGTCTTCCATATTCGTTGCCCAGCTTTCAGATGCATAGGAAGCAAGTGAAAAGACCATGGCTTGGATAGAGGGCTCCTTGTTGTTGTTTTTGTTGTTAAGTGCGGTCGAGTCGTAGGCGACTAATAGCGACCTTAAGAATGAAAGTCCTCAACACTTGCATGATTTTCATCCTTTTTTCAGGTTCATAGGGTTTTCAGAGGCATGCTATTACGGAAGTGGATGCCACTCCTGCCTCCAAGCTTGTTTTAATCAGGGAGCGCCACCAAACACTGTCCATCATGGGTAACTATTATCATATTTGACACATCAGTGTCACAGTGTTCAGCTTCACAGCAACCATAAGTAACCTCTGTACAGCAAGTGGACAGACCAGGGTTATACGACCTAGAAGAATGTTTGACCAAAACCAATTAAAAACAGGCCCAAGGGCTGCATCAAGCTGACATTGAGGTTTACAAGACACTCACCCTCATCCTGCAGGTGTGGCCAGACATTTCAGTATTTTACCATTCTGGCATGCCCTAATGCTGGTGAACTCTGGGCCAGAGACCCCCAACTTACCTTGGTTTGAAAATTAACATAGCTGCTTTGGAAAGGTCTTTGAAAGCAGATTTGCCTATGGTAGGGGGGGTTAGTATTGCATTTCATCGAGTTGGAACCACCCTGCAACTGAGCTCCAGTGGTTTTTCAGAGGCAGCAAATTGCACAGGAGGAGAATGCCCATCTTTCTTCTGTGCAGCAGCTGCTGGATTCAAATCATGTCCTTTTGGAGTTGGAGTTCGGCTTCTTAGCACTAGGCCACCAGTCAGCCTCATTTAATAGTGGAAATGTGAGGCCTGGAATACTTGAGTGCTTATTGATAATATTAGGAGGACAATTCTAAACTTGTGATTCCTGAGCTCAGTACTCAATTGCTCAGTGGTTCAATTACTTCACTGCTGCTGAAATTTATCGCCAAAACCTGTGACTTGGGAGGACCTGATCATGAGCAGAGGGATCTTGCGTCCTTTGAGGTGGTTTGTGAAACCTGCTGACTCTGGACACTTTTCTCTTTTTCTTTCTTCGCCTCCCCATCCTTATTTATTGTTCAACTTTCAGATGCATAGAAAGTAATTGAAAAGACAGGTACATCTGAGGGTTTTTAAACTGACATCACTGCTATTCAGCACCTTGGAGGGGTCCTTGTCAACAGAATTTCCCATTGCAATACTTTTTTTGATTTTTTTTAAAATGAAGAACCTGGATCCATTATTGCACATTTCCTCCTTCCCCAACCCCAGCCCATTTTCACTTTTTTTTCTTTGAAAAAAAGTTCTTTCATTGTCCCTCCCCTCCACATGACCACTTTACTGTGCAACTCTTATTCTGGACTCTTGTTATGCCAACAATACCTAATCATATATTCCTTTTATACAGTTCTCTTCCTCGTCTGTTTCAATGCCGTGAACATTATTTATCCCCTCTTTTCTTAATTTCTCTCCAACCCCATGTCAGTACTGTTCTATAACAGTAGCATTATGCAGTGTTTGTCTTTTTGTGACTGAGATATTTCACTCAGCATAATGTCATCCATAGTTCACGAGTTCTTTGTTTTTCAGTGCTGCATAATAATCCATTGTGTGAATATACCACAGCTTCTCTATGCATTCATTTGTTGATGGGCACTTGGGTTGTTTTTGGTATTTGTATTTGGTATTGTTTCTTTGGTATTGTGAACAAAGCAGCATTAAACATGAGTGTGCATATATCTGCTTGGGTGTCAGTTATGGTGTCTTTAGGGTATATTTCCAGTAGTGGAATTGTTGGGTCAAATGATATTTCTATTTGCAACTTTTTGAGAAAATGCCATACTGACTTCCATAGTGGTTGCACCATTTTGCACTCCCACCAACAGTGTATAAGGGTTCCAGTTTCTCCACATCCTTGCCAACATTTGTTGTTTGCTGCTCTGTTAAATTTTGCTATTCTGACTGGGGTGAGATGATATCTCATGGTTGTTTTGCACTTTTCTCTTTGTCTTAATTAAACATTGTATTGTCTTAAACCTGCAGGAGGGCCAGCTATGGGTTGCTTCAGACCCAATAGTATACAACAACAACAACAACAACAAAAATAGTATACAACAACAACAATAACATGTTAAAAATATATAAACTACAATAAAAGTTCCTAAAGAATTGTTTCTAAATATTCATCTTTCATAAGATTTGCTTTTAATCTTTTAAAAAATAAACAATTCAGTGATGTAAATGATGTTCATTATGTTGTGCAACTACCACCACTATTTCCAGACATTCTTCATCACCTCAATAAGAAACTCAGTATCTCTTTAGCAATAACTCCTTGCTCCTGCCCACAACCAGCCCAGGTAACCACTAATAAACTTGATACTATGCATTTATCCATTCAAGAAATTGCATGTTAGCAGAATTATATAATAATTGCCCTTTTGTATCTGATCTACCTCACTCTGCAGAATATTTTCAAGGTTTATTCATGTTGTAGTACATATCGAAATTTCATTTTCCTTTATGGCTCAATACTGTTCCATTGTTTGCATATACTGCATTGTATTTATCCATTCATCTGTTTGTGGACATGGGCTGTTCCTATATTTTGGCGATTGTACATAATGCTGCAATGGTGACTGGTGGACACATATCCACTTACCTTTTCAATGCATCAAATGCATCTGGATCTTTATCAGAAGTTTTTACTAGAGAGCAGCATGAGGGAGAGTAAGTTATTGTCCTATTAGACAGGCTCATAATTATTAGAGTCTTTTTCTTTTTATTAGCCACTTTAGACACTCCAGTTAAAATGACATGATGATGGATAGGTGTCCTAAGTCCTATTATGGACTCTCTTTGAAATGCTACCTATTCCTACACTCAAAACTACACTGTACCTTCTTCCCCTCCACCCTTGTCCTTTATGCTTTTGAATGGTTATAATTTTGCTCAGTTAAGTCCTACATAGTCATTGATCAGAGTATTGGCCAGAATTCTGTCCCGGTGGCCCTGGGGTTGGTGCGCAGCTGGACTCCTGACAGGGAGGGGGACAATTGGCTTTCTGGAGGGTGTCTCCTTACCACTGAGGAGAGGCCGGTTGTGCTGGTAGGTGGTTGGCAGCTGGCCAATATCTTCAGTCCTGTGACTCATCACTCGGGACAGGTGGCCTGTGTGGTGCAGGCTCCCCACAATAATGCTGTGGAGGTAAATGGGCTCAATGAAGTGACAGAGGAGGGCGCCCTGGAGACCCAGAACATTCCACCTGAAAGAAAGGAAAGGGGAGGGTCAAAAACTAATTTAGAGAAAGTGAAAAGCAACCCTCTCAAGTCCATCCAGGGCACGTCTTCTTACCTTGGCTTGTTTTGCAAAGTGCGGATGGCATTCCCTCCCCTCGCGCTCCGTGATTGCTGTGATGCCACATTTCCCATGGCGCTGATGGAAAGGTCTCGCCTGGGAGCGCTGCAGACACAGTGGACTGAGCACAACAGGCCTTGGCCTTGTGGCGACTAATGATTCCGAGTTCCTCTAACTGCTGTTGGATTGAGTTCTGAGAATCGTCCTGCATTTTAATAAACTGGACTTCTTTTTCTGGGAAACGGAGTTGTGAGGTTGTGTGGAAACTCTCTATTCTTTCCGCTACTTAAAATCAAATGTATTTATTTATTTATTTCTAATAGGACATCTTGTTACCGAAGTCAATCTGACTTTCCCCCTTAGATTAGCTGGAAAATATCAGAAATTGAGTTTATTTTACTTTAGGACAAAATATTCTCTCCCACTCCTTTGTCCTCAGCAGTCAGAACGACCTAGTGTATTGAGATTAAATGACATTAATCAATGACCTTATTTCCAGTCTGAGGAGGATTTTGATTTTCGACACATCAGAGATGAATTTCAAGGCCATTTTCTCAGAAATAAGCATAGCTCTGGGTGAATGCTTTTGCCTCTCTAAGAAAGGTGTCAGCAGCACTTTGGAGATTTCGTCCCACACATTTGGGTGGTAAAAAGTTATACATATCTGTTATTTAATGCAACATTTTGTGATGTCCCCTCTAAGTAATGTGTTTTGAATCCAACTCCCATTAGTACAAAGTATTATGTAGCTAATTTCTTACATCATTGTTCTTTTCATTAATTAACATTTCTCCACTACTCAGGCAATTATTGTGGTGTCTCCATGCTGTACACCTCTTCTCATGATTAATAAGGAGTCATTATATTTCCCTTTCCTGAAGCAGTCAATTAACACAGAATTCTTTCCATTAATTACTGAATGTTTAAAACCAGCTTGCTCTACCTGGAGAGCAATCTGCTCTGAGAACCTGTGACACCAATTGCTTTAAAAAGTTCTCTTTAAATTTTATTCCAAAAACACAAGCAATTTAGCTGGCAATATTAATTTGCCTCAGAAGCATCGCGGTGAATGAGAAACATCTTTTAATCTCATGCAAGAAAAGGCAGCCATCTGGCTGGCGAGGTTTGCGGAGAGCCACTCTCCTGCTCTCCCCCGGTAAATGCAGGTCATTAAAGTAATGTGTTCATCTACATAAAACTCAAATGGAATATAAAAGGTAATATTTATATACAAACAATTTAGTCCCACAATTTAAACAGTCATTGGTTTTATGAAACATTTACTTTAGTTGATCAGATTTGCATAACTTCATTGTTAAAAAAAAGTACATTGGTCATTTCTAGAAGTCAGATCATTTCTCCCAGAAAGGAATGAAATGGCTGTCCTACATGGATATAATTTTTCCAAGAATTAATACCAGAAAGTTTTCAAGGGAGATATTTCTTCAACAACAAAAGTGTTTTTTACTGCATTTCTGCCTTGTGGAGTGCCTACAAGGTGTCAGGCAGGTCGTTTTGCATTAGTTATTGTTTTTTGCCTTCAAGTTGCTTCCAACCTCACGTTTGTTGAGTGCAAGTGTGCACCAGAGTTTTCCAGACTGATCTTTTGGAAGCAGATAATCATGCCTTTCTTTTTGAGATGTCTCGGGTGGGTTTGAACTGTCATCCTTTTGATGAGCAGTGAAGCAGTTGCGTCTTTACGTCACCCAGGGTCTTATTTCTGTCTAGAACTCTATTTTCCCCACTACATACCAATTTGACATGCGGGCCCATGGCCTTTGGTTCTCTGTGTGTATGTGTGTTATTTTTCTTCTCATGGATGTGTTACAGAATTTCTAAAAAAAAAAAAAGTGGAGGAAAGGAGGTTTTAGGTTTGTTTGCTTCTGAGCTTTCCCCAGAAAAGGGAAACAATTTTGGTATTTTTTGAGCACTGATTGAGGGATTTGACTATTCTTCTTAAAGCTGACACTAGAATATTTTGGCATTACTAAGGACAGATGAAAAAGTGGAGAGACATTCAAAAGTCATCTCCATATAATCTAGGAAGTTATGCGAGAAAAAAGAAGAGGTGACAGTAACAGAAGTGACAAAAGTGTAACTCTATTTCATGATAAAAGTTCTTGGTACTAATTTTTAGTGTATTTTTATTCCTAAGTCAAGTACAGACTTTCTTAAATATTCTTTTGCATTAATGAGAGCAGTTTTGTTTGCAAAACAGCAGTAGTGGCAAATGGCTACAGTCGATTTGCATGCTACAATTACGAGTTAGTTTTTCAGGTAAGAATACTAGGTGTGAGACAATTTAAAAAGCTTTTATAATTTATCAGACTTCTAGTGAAGTTTTAAATTTCTTGTCAATCAAAAGGATATGTATAAAAATGGATATTCCCTCCATCTACAAATGTTTTATAAGCCAAATCTTGCACAATAGAATTAGCATTCACAGACAATGTCTTTGCACATTAGGCTATCAAAGCACTGGCTTTGAATAAAACTTCTGGAACATATTTGAATGCTTCTGACTCTATAAGGTCACCAGGAGTCAGAACCAACTTGATGGAAATGGGTTTTACTTTTCATTTTGTTTTCATTCTACAGGATTGTCTAAAGACAAATAACTGCTATATCTGCTTCCCTCTTAATAACCTTTACAATAAGGAGAAAATCAACCTTCTCTTTGCCTGGTTATAGGAGTTTAAACTTATTCAGCTAGCAGGATCAATAAAACCAAATGTCTTCCTGAATATAAACTGGAGAATTTTCAGTGTTCAGAACTGAATGGAAAAATACCTCTCATTTTGTTCAAACAGATGATATTACTGCAATGTTGACAGAAAAAAAGCCCCCATCCCCTGTCTAGTTTTCAATATAGATAATCCCTAAATAAATATATTTTTGTCTGTTTGTCAATCACTGAAACCCCACAGATAAGTGTTGAAAAGATCTTGGAAAAAAACGACTGCTTTTCTTTAACCAAGAGATGCAATCATGTTCACTTCAAATCTTGGCCTCCAAGTAACAATGAGAACAATGACAAGATTCCTCGCAGGATAGGCTCTAGTTTAGTCTGGCACTACAGGTGTGAGCCGTAGCCACAAGACAGAGAGAAAGAACATCTACCATTGCATTGTTTTGGACAGTTTGTGTTATTTTCTGTTGGTTTCACCATCTTGATGTGACCCTGAGAGGAATTTTAACTCTCCAAAATTGTAGCGAAGGCTGCAGGACGGTTGTCAAGTAGCATAAAAAACACATGCTTAGTTCACTTTCTTCTTCATGTGGAATCTCTGGCTACTGTCAACTTATTTGTTCCTTCCTAGAATCTCAGTTTATTCTTAACATTAAATACAGCACCCGATACATTGTAGGCACTCAGTGAAAGCTACTAGATGGCAAAAACCCCACACATTTTACCCAATTTATTATTACCCAACTGGTAATAATAAATGAATGTTAAATTTTATTCACTAAGCTGTCCTCTGTGATATATATGCGTGTATACACATGTACATATATGCATGTGCACATAGGCACACATATACATGTGCACACACATATAAGCACACACATGCATGTATGAATGGATGAGTACATATATGTGTACACATGTAGGTGTATTTGTTATTGTTGTTATGTGCTGTCGAGTCATCTGCGACTCACAGCGACCCTATGTACAATAGCCCTAAACCCTGCTCTATCCTGTGCCAATCTCACTGTCTCCGACACTACTCCCATTACCCCAGTCACTGAGTCAATCTGTCTCATCCAGGGTCTTCTTCTCCTGTGCTGTCCCCCACCCTCCCAAGAATGATGTTCCTCTTCCTAAAGTATGACAGACAAAGCTTCATAATCCTTGCCTCCAAGGTGCAGTCTGGTTTAACCCTCTCTAGGAAGAACCTGTTTGTTTTCTTAACAGTCTATGGCATATTCAATACTCTTCTCAAATAGCACAGCTCAAAGGCATCAATTCTCCTTCTATTGTCCCTAGTCATTGTCCAGCTCTCTGATGTATTATGTGTCTATTATATATACATTTATATATATGTTGTTGTTATGTGCTGTTGAGTTGCCTGCCACTCATAGTGACCCTATGTTCAAAAGCTCTGAAGCCTGCCCTGCCCTGAGCCAGTCTCACTGACTCCGACACTCCTACCCCCCTTGTCCCAGCCACTGTATCACTCCATCTCATCTGAGGTCTTTCTCTCTTCCACTCTTCTGAGCATGATGTCCTTCTCCATGGACTGGTCTCTCCTGGCCATGTGCATAAATAAACATTGTTGTTAGGAGCTGTCAAGTTGGAATTGACTCAGAGCTGACACTTCAGCAGGTTTTAGAAGCTGTAAATCACACAGGAATTGATTGTCTATCCTTCTTCGGCAGAGCAGCTTTTGGGTTGGCCCTGTAACTCCTTACCACTAAGTCACCAGAGCTCTCTCTCTATATGTAACTTTCCCTCAGAGGAAATATATATAGAGAGAGATATATAGAGGAAGGCTCATCAACAGTCATGCTATGCAGATAACACAACTTTGCTTGCAGAAAGTGAAGAGGCATTGAAATATGTGCTAACAAAGGCCAAAGACTATAGCTTTCAAAATGGATTACATCTCAACATCAAGAAAACAAAAATCTTCACCACTGGGCCAGGAGGCAATATCATACCACTTAGAGAAACTATTTAAATTGTCCACGATCAGCACCTGTGGTAATAGCAGTCAAGATGTGAAAGGATGTGTGTTGCACTGGGAACCTCTGCTGTCACGAACCTCTTTAAATGCCAAAAACCAAAGGTGTCAGTTGAAAGACTCAGGTATACCAGATCCAAGCAATATTTTTAATTGCTTCCTATGCATGTGAAAGTTGGACAATGAATAAGGATGACAGGAGAATAACTGATGACTTAGAATT